GATAAATTTTATAATGTTTTATATAAGAAAATTGTTTAATACATCAATGAATAAAATAAAATCAATGTAGAGTGTGTGAATAATGTAAAATCAATTACATATGTTAATAATAAAAGTCGTGGCAATGATAAATAAGAAATTTAAAGCGTTGCAATTAATTTACTGTAGTAAAATTGTTTATTTCACAATGGAGGTTTAGAATGTTATTGTATTCTCATGAATGCTAAATATTTTAAATTGTGTGCTTCATTACATAAATTACATTTATGATAGAAAAAATATATGATCATGGTGCTACTATAACTTTTTTTATAATGTTGGGGGTATATATATTACACATATAAGTTTGGGGTACTTACCTCACACTCCTTCAAAGTTTGAGGTATTCAAATTATTTTCCCCTTATTAAAACACATTACTAAGTTACAATTTATCTGTTTTATTTTCCACATAAAGGTAACTCTGCTAACCAGGCAATTGAGCTGCTCATACAAAAAGGAGTCCCAGAATCCCACATTGTCTTCTTAAACCTTATTTCTGTAAGTTTTTTGTCATTCCCGCATCTCAAAAAACATAATTGTTGAACAATTTTTAGTTGAGGTGGTGGTTTTCTGTGAGTCGGGGGTCTCATGGTGAGACGATCCAAAAAAGAATGATCAAGGTGATAGGGACCCGGGCAAATTAGAGTTAATACTTAATAATAGTAATAGAATAATATCAAATAATTGTGATAGTGTTTTAAAGGGTCCTGGGCCAGGTACTAGTTAGCTTTGGGCTGGCCCATAAGTAAGAGTATAAGTAGAAGGGAGGGAGAAATTAGAAGGCAGGCAGACTTTGGACTGGAAATAGACTTGGGAGAGGAGACTGCTCTAATATACGTCAAATTTACCGACTGAATTTGAGGGATCTAACTCTTTAACTTTGTTTAGAAACAAGTCTACGACTGACATATTAATTGTAATGAGTACTATTTAAATTCATTGGTTGGTTTAACTCAATTTATTAGTCTCTACGTCCCTAATTTATCTCATGAAGTACAAATGGCACATGGATTAAGATAGTGGCCTAGTGAGTATTGTGTGGTGGAGAGTTGTGCAGAGGAGAGAAATATGTAAAAATGTGTAAGAAATGGGGGGAACCACAAATTCTTTGACAAAAAGGGTAAGATGAGATAATTTTGGGACGAACGAAAAAGGAAAGTTTGAAAATGTGGGACGGAGGGATTATATATTTATATGTAACTTGTTTATGGTGATGATATTGTACTTTATTAGATAAAAGTGCTTGATAAATGACTGTTGCTCTTTTGTTTTATTTTTGGGGTGGTGGAGGTATCATAATTCGCCAAAAGTTGCAGTATCACTGTAAAGCTTTAACTTGAGTGCTCCGTCCTTTTCAAAAAGGAGTCATCATGTTTGATTAAGATATATCCTTTTTATTTTGACAATGTGCATGTTTTAAAAGTCGTGAATTTTTATATTTTTAAAAATTTATGTTTTGGTTTAACTAAATTTGTGACATGTTTATAACTTCTCAGGGGGACAGGAGGGGGCAAAATTACATGCTAAAGTGTTAAACTAGTTCTGCTGTATTAAATATGATTCTTTTTGGGACTAAATGAAACAGTCCCTCTAAATTCTAGTCTGTGAGATCATTTGGTACAAGTTTTGGTCATAGGGTTCAAGAAAAACTTGAAAAACCATCATCAATGACTCTTTTCTCTCCCTGTGTATAGGCACCAGAAGGGATACATTGTGTATGCAAGCATTTCCCTTCTTTGAAAATCGTAACTTCGGAGATTGACATTGCGTTGAATGAAGAATTCCGAGTCATTCCCGGGCTGGGTGAGTTTGGTGATCGTTACTTTGGTACTGATGAGTAGTGAGAGATGCTTTGGGCCTGCGAACTTTAATTGATGGTCTCCTCGCAGTTGATTTGCACTCTACCTCAATCCCTCCTCTATTATCCATCCTCTAGGTTTCTGGTTATTTGCCTGACAAGTACGGTAATGATTTGTTACTTGTGAATAGTTATGCCATAATTTAATTGAGCTGAACAAGTTTGTGTATCGTTCTCCAAGAGCAACCCTAATGTGTGGTGACACGCTAAACATGACACAATAAAACTACTTTTGGATCAAGAGTATAGGACTGGTCAAGTGGTCACGTGGGAGATATTCAGAAACAAGTTTAGGAATGTTTCTTTATAGTGGCTCTTGTGTTATATGCTGGTATCTTTTGATAGCAACAACACATGTGATATTGTTTGTGTGAAGAGGAAAAACTTAGATTCACTTGTTCTGAACATGTGTCACATGTGTTGTGTTATCTAAGATTTTGGACTCTGTTAAAATTGTGAGTAGATTATTATTTATAGGTATACATACGTTTTTAGTCCCTTCAAATATGACACTTTGTTTTAGGTTCATGTAATTTTTTTCATCCTTGTAACATGCATTATTTTGTTTTTAGTCTATGTCTAACTCTAAAACCACTATTGAGAAAAAAGTTAGTCGGTTGCATACTTGCATAATACTACTAAAACCTTTTAAATTTACCTTTCTATAAGAGTTAAACCAATGTAAAACTAATTATTGCCATTTTTGAAATATGTAATTAATAGCCTTCTAAAAAACAAATTTAAATGTTTTTTGAATAATAAGATAGAATGGGAGGAGATTTATTAGTTGGAGTTGTTTTTTGTAGTTGTTATCATTGATGATGGATTAAAATGAAAATTAACATAACTTACAAGGATGAAGAAGATAATAATTTTACAAGGATGTCATCATATATTTGGGTCATGCTAAGTTGCTAATTAGAGGTCCCCGTTTTTGAAATTAGAGGATCGGAACCGGACCGGTTTTTTACAGACTTTGTTCTGGTCAGATATGCTCGGTCGGTCCCGGTCCGGTCCTTTAATTTTTTCAAGTTATTGGAATATTGGAAAATAAAAACATGATGTATATTTATTATTATAAACACTACAATGTCACATGTATCAAATATCAATATTCAATATCATATTTGAAAATTACAATTGAGAATATTTTAAAGTTGAAAATTACAATACATGAACTAATCGTCGTCGTCGCCGCTTCTGGCGTCGGTTGTCGTTTCCTCCATGAAATGGTGGTCCGGTGCTATGTTGAGTTCTTGTGTTTTACGGTGGGCTTTCAACCAATCGTGGAAGCCAATGAGTGTCTCGAGAGATGAAGCGCTTAATCTCGTTCTATAGTAGTTAAAACGTTATCGGCTTGGCTAAACTCTTGTTCCACGGCAACAGTTGAAATTGACATCGACAACGCTTGTTTGACCATTTTTTATAAAATCGGAAACATCCCTTCGTGTTTCTTCCATCATTGCAGAATATCAAAGTCCTCCGCTTCATTATACTCACAAGGAAATGTTAGATATAAAGAGAACTCGTTAGTCGAGCTTTGTGCAACGGCATGAGTTCATTTACTTTTTTTCAAAAGAGTAGATATTGTTGATTTTAAAAAACCTCTTCATTTAGATGAGGAAGCACTCAGTATTGGGGAAGGGGGTGCATTACCATATTGTGCATGAAACTCATTAAATAAAGCGTGAAATAGATTACTAACCTCGTTGAATTGGTGTTGAGGATCTATAAGTGTGTCTTCGTACATAGGGGATGGACCGTAGAAAGCAGTATAATAGTATTCTAAAAATGTTTTATAATGCGAAAGTTCGAAACGAGCATCAAGACAAAAAGCAATAGAATAGAATAAATAGGCGGAATGTATGCAAAATATATTAAAAACGTTTCTTTCATGAAATTACAAAAATAATGTACATAAGTAGCTTCAGAAAATTCTGTAAAAGAACCGGCGAGATTAACAGCTTCTAAAAAAAATTGGTTGCTAGTTGGTTTATACACATGGGAAAAAGTTTGAGTAGCGTTGTTAAAATAAACTAAAACGTTGCAAATCTTTTGCGTTGTGTCGATCTCAATTCTCAACCGGTTCTATAATATAATTACAAGTTTCTTTCATGAAAGTAGGAAAATGATCTTTATATCTAAGAAGCATAAGAATTAAATTATAAGTACTGTTCCAACGAATAGAAAGATCTTTAGGAAAAACACAATACCTTACACCTTTCAACTTCAAATAAGCACGCCATTGCATTTTAAGTGGATTACTAGCCCAAATCATTCTAATAGCTTTCTTAACCTTCTCCATCACATTTCCTAATGCGGCTAAGACGTCTTTCACACATTGTTTAATAATATGACATGCACACCGCTGATGAAAAAATGTACCCATCAAGGTAAACAGATCACATAATTCACGCATCTAGGTATAACGAAAGTATTGTTAGTAGCATTATCAAAGCCAATAGAAAACACCTTATCAATCAAAGAATATTCAACTAAAATACGTTCCATGAGAATATAGATATTATCATCCTTGAGTCTTTCATTAAAATCTTGAAAAGCGATAACACGTTTATGCATTTGTCAATCATCATCAATCCAATGTGCAGTTGATAAGTTCGTATTACAACACGCATTTGATGCATGTTGGAGTCGGATTTTGATAGTTTTCCTAGCTTTAAGGGGTTGCAAGTCTCAATTTTAGCTCAAGATGTAATTATCATGCGTTGGGTCGAGTTTTGTGGCGTTTGAAGTCAAAATCGGAGAATTTGAGCCCGACATCGGCATACGAGAAGCATTTGAGATGAGTTGAAGAGCGTTCGAGAAAGATTTGAGAGATTTGGAGGTCATCGGGAGGTTCGTGACGAAGAATTGTTGAAGAAAAAAAGCTTTTGGAACGATTGCGGGGGCATTTAAAGTGAGGAAAAGAAGAGAAAATCAAGTTTTTACATACGCACGGTCATGCCCATGAGGTACGCACGCCGTGCGTACGTGACAGTAAGCCCCAGGAGACGGAACGAGATCACGCACACCGTGCGTGCACGAGGGCCGAAGCGAGGAAGCTACTGGAGGGTACGCACGCCGTGCGTGACTGTTGCGCACGCCGTGCCTAAGCGCGAAACGCACGTTTGCTCCGGACGCACGGACGCCACGCACGACGTGCGTAGCATTGTGCGTGGGTCCGAAACCCCAATCCTGGACGAATTTTGCTGTGTTTCCTTTAAATATCACCTCCCTAATCCTTTTAGGGGGGCAGGGGTGGAACTTAGAGAGCAGCTTAAGGACGAATTTTGAGAGCTTTTCAGTCTTGGTTTTTCAATTCTTTAAGATTCTTTGTAAGTTCCTACTTTTTAATTAATGACAATTATTTCTATTTTCCCCAATTCTATTGATTCTTCAATTATGAGTCGGGAGTAATTTTAATTAGGGATTGATGGAGGGGTAAATCATGATGTATGGTTAGTTTCTTGGTGGTTTAATTTCATGAATGTCGTTTAACTTATGTTTGAACAATTTAATTGCTATCTTTTGTAACCTGGAACCGCGGCTAAACTTACAATTGCTTGTAGAATAAATTAAGAGAGATCTAGTTTATTCTAAGACACCTTCACACACACTTAATCGTTCGCTAAGAGATTTGTAGCGATTAAGGGGCCGTAAGCTCGCTCGTCTTGGCAATAATTTAAAATCTTGTCGCATGAGATATCAGTCTGGTCCCCTAAATTATTGTACTCTACGCCGCGAGAGCGGTAAGAACTTAGTATTGATTAGATAGGCTCAATTAAATTAATTTCATGTAATTAAGCCTGATCTGCCAGAAATCTGATTACCCCGGAATCAGTCCCTGTTCCCTTCGTCGTTAATTAAGAAGAACCCCATCAACTATTTTTATTCGCTCATTCGCATTAGTTAAATTTCAAGTCAACCAAATCTCGCACGACTGCATTTATTTTATTTCCGTTCTTTATCGCTGATTTTAGTTAGTCCTAAATTGTGGCCTACTGAGTTCCTTGATCCTAAGATACCTTCCAGTTTCACTTAGTTTATGGGAAGGCTTGCCACCTTCCAGTTGAGATTGAGCATAAGGCCTATTGGGCCTTGAAAACGTTGAATAAGAATCTTTCTTTGGCGGGTCGTGAGCAGCTTTGGAAGCTCAACGAGTTGGATGAGTGGAGGCTTATGGCCTATGAGAATTCTAAGATTAGTAAGGAGCGTACCAAAGCCTATCATGATCGGCATATCAAACAGGGAAAAGAATTTTGTAAGTGGGATCAAGTTCTGCTATTCAATCCCCGAATGAAAATTTTTAAAGGAAAGTTGAAGTCTAGGTGGTCTGGTCCTTTCGTAGTAAGCGAAGTTTTTTCATACGGAACAGTTTAAATAGACCATCTTGAGAAGGGTCGTTTTAAAGTTAACGGCCATCACCTGAAGAAATACTACGGAGGACCGTTAGATCGCGAACGTGAGGTGACTTTCGTCACAAATTTTGAGAGATGAGTGCGTAGTTGCGTCGGGCAAACGCGTTAAAAATAGCGCTTCTCGAGAGGCAACCCGAGCCTAATTTTTGCTTCAGTAGTGTAGTTTTACTGCTTTTCAAAAAACCCACAAAAAAACCAAAAAAAAAACTAGCATGTTTTGGGTGTGCACACCATGCCTACTAAGGATGCACGTCATGCGTGCACGCGAGGGAAGCAAGGGAGCTCACTACCAGACGTGCACGCCGTGCGTGCTGAGTACGCATGCCGTGCGTGCATGCGAGAGATGACTTGAAGGCTACTGCCAGCCACGCACGCCGTGCGTGAATGCTACGCACGCCGTGCGTGACTGCTATGCACGCCGTGCGTGACTGCTACGCACTCCGTGCGTGACTATTTTTTAAAAAAACTTTCACGGGATTAAAACAACACTACGCACGCACGCCTCCCCCTATTCCTTGCGATCGAACGACGCACACACCCTTCTCTCCAGTGCACGAACGAACGACGAACGAACACTGGCCCTCCGCCTGCGACCGACCGACGCCAGCCAACGAACACCCCCCCCCTCTCCCTCTTCTCTTCCTCAATCAATGTACTCACTCTTCTTCCACCATTAATGGAGTTTTGAAGCTTTTTGTTCAAAAAACAATTTTGCTCGAAAATTAGGGATTCGAATTTCTATGATTAAATTTAGGCTTCTTGTTGGTTCATTGATGTTGTATGAGTGTTGAGAAGCCTTTATTACATGGAATCCCTAATTTTCGAGTTAATTTGACCAATTTAGGGTTGTAAATTGCTAAATGTGCGAAAATTTGGAGATTTTGAGTTTCTTGCTTCACGTGTGGTTCTTTTTCCATGATATTGCTGTTCTATGGTTGTTGTGAGCCCAATTGTTGATGAATCCCCAATTTTTTCGGCTCAACTTTGTCGAATTTGAGAATTTAGGATTCTTTCCCCAATTTCGACATTTTAGCTAAATTTTCTGGGAAGAATCCTAACCTTGACAACTGGTTGTGCTGATTTACTCTTTCATGTGACCTCATTTACATCGTGTGTCGTTAAAAATTTGGATTTTACTTAAAGATTTTTTCTTCAATAAAATTCCAATTTTTTTAACTATTCT